CCCTACACTCACCCCCCACCACCTCCCACCCACACCCCACACAACGTCCCCATCCCCCCACTCACAGATGAGCCGACCCGGGGCCCTGCCATGCCACCGACGGGCGAGAAGACAGACATGGGGACCCTGTGTGCTCACCAAGTGTGTCGACAGAGGCGCGTGCATAGCCTCGGTCAGCTGGACTCGCCCCACCTGTGCGCCCAACAGGAAGGTCCTCGTGACCTTCACCCCGGCGACCGCATGGCCTTGACACGTGCAGTGTCATGCTCTCCGGCCTGTACACCCAGTCATAAAGTGAGTGTCTCTTTTTTTAAAAAGTTTTTCTCCATCAAGAATTTTAATTAAACAACAGATGTTAAAATCCTTTTTCGATCATTTTAGTGTAATTGTTTTGTTGGGCTTTTTTGGAGACATTTTTTTTTGGGGGGGGGGAGGGGTCACCACACCATCTCCTGTTGTATAACATCATTCCATGTCATGCCACACCATACCACATCGTCAGACCCTACCGTACCATACTGTAGCATATTGCACTGTACCCTACTCTTCCCTGCCTCATATGATCTCATCTCATCTCATGTTATCCCATCTCATCTCATATCGTATTGTATCACATTACATCAAACCACACCACACCACGCCACGCCACATAATGCCACACCACACCTCATCACAATACACTATACCACACCTCACCACACCACATCCCACCCCACCACACCCTATCACACCACACCACATCACACCACACCATACCAAACCACACCACATCACACCAAACCACACCACATCACACCTCACCACATCACACCACACCATATTACACTACATCACACCACACCATATCGCACCACACCACATCACACCACACCACAGAAAACCACACCACATCACACCTCACCACATCACACCACACCGCATTACACCACATCACACCACACCGCATTACACCACATCACACCACACCATATCGCACCACACCGCATTACACCACATCACACCACACCATATCACACCACACCACACCACACCACACCACACCACACACCACCACACACCACACCACACAACCCCACACCACACCACAGCACACCACACCTATCCCCACCTCATCACATAATATCTCCCCAGACCACATCACACCACACCACATCTCATCTCATCACACCATACCACATCACACCACACCACATCTCATCTCATCACACCATACCACATCACATCACATCTCATCTCATCACACAATACCACACCACACCACCCCCACCTCATCCCGTCACACCACAGCAAAATCACACCACACTACACCACATTACATCACGTCACATAACATCTCCCCAGATCTCCTACACACCCGAGCACGCTGCGTTTGGCAGACTCCACAGCCCCAGCCACCACCAGCAGCTCCCCCTGCAGCCTCACCATCTGCTCCACCAGCCACAGTACATCCAGCAACACCACCACCACCTCAACAAAGTGGACGCGCTGAGGGAGAGGCTGACGGGGAAGCCCAGCGCTGCGGTGCCAAAGACGTCGTCCAAGTAAGTTCTTTTTTTTCTGCCTTTTTTTTTGGTAAGTATTTTACGGCGCTCGCAACTGCATAAGGTCATACGAGCGTGTGGGACTCACCTAACATTTTCAGTTAGTAGGAAATTTTTAATTTTGCCCTGGTGGCAGCCAAAGCCTACTCTTATCGATTTTTTACCACCAAGGGATCTGTAACGTGCGCAACTTGCACACGCGACCTCCGAGATTTTTTGCCCTTGTCCGAGAAGGCTAGGTGTAGATCTTTCCTACTAGAAGATCAGGGGTATGGCTGAAAGACAGCAGTAAGAAGGAGCAAAGGAGAAGCAGTGGAAAGGCTGTAGAAAGAGTCAGGAGCCCAAAGGAGGGGGCAAAGGGGGTGGGGGCAGAAAATGGAGACAAAAGCAGACGACAGCATGTTGCTAGAGAGCGTAGATTCTTCGAATAATAATGGAGTTGTTTTTTTCTTTTGGTTAGAGTTTTACGGCACTCACAACTGCGTAAGAGCCTTTTAATAGAGTGAAAAGATGGGGTGACCTAAATCTTACTCTACCTTTCAAAGGGACTACTATAGCTAGGTTGGTGCATTGATCATATTTATTTATTAAATTTATGTATCTGTATACAACCTCATTGTCAAAAAGTGTGGGTGATTGGAGGGCGCCACTGGTAGGTCTTGCTCCTTCTTTACTTTCCTTCTGTTGTTTCTGTCTGTGTGTCTGTGTTACTTTTTCCCCAGCACGAAATGACCATTATTGTGTCGATGTACTTCTCTTTACCCAAACTAAACTAACAAACAGTCAAAAACGCTATAGCTTTAGGCTCAATCCGCCATTGTTCAAAAAGGTCAACTTTGAAAAAGAAAAGAAAAATGTCTTGGCTCTTCTCTGAAAATAAGTGGTCTGGCATCATTGATGTTTCGATTTTCTCAGAGGGGATGTATAATGACCCAGACGTTATTTTCCATTTACCAGTTTTCAGACAGGCTTTCGAACGGTTTAGAAAAAAGTCTCACTTGAAATGAAAAAGGTCATTCACGGATTGGATAGATTGCTCCAGAGGCCATTAAAAGTCGTTTTTCCCACTGTTCTGAGGATTTTTTCATAGACCAAAACTTTTTGTTTGTGTTTGTGTAATTCCTGTGGCAGGCAGAAGAGGGAGGAGTTCAATATCGATAAGGGGAGAATTTTCACAAGTATCTTGATCTTTCGGCTGGGACTTATTAAAATACCCCCCCCCCCCCAGGGGCGGTGCCACTGACTGAAGTGTCTTTAGGCCATTCCCAAAGAGGGGACATTAACTTGTTCTTATTCACAGTAGATTTGTAAATGGGCTGATTCATCAATGTCATGCTCATAACTCTGCCTGAACTGCAACAGGGAACTGCTGTTTTTTCTTTCCTAATCCTTACTATTGTCTTTTCTCCTCTACTTCTTTTGTATGTTTGTCACTGTCTTATGACCTTCTATTTCCGGGGTACCTTGATAGTCGAAGTAGATATTGTGCTGTTGAAGCTAGAGAGGTGAGCAGAGAAAGTCTGATTCCCTGTAAGGACTTCTCTGTTGACATCCACCCTTTGGCGCTCATAATATGACCTTAGGCAGCGCTGTAAAAAAAACTCTGCTTAAACTTTTTTTAAAGGATGTATTATTATCTCTCTCAACTTGGATTGGCCCTGACGGGCATGGACAAAGCCACCTCCTAAATATGATCTAAATTGTGTTGAATGATAAGAGGCGTAAAAGCACTTACACTTTTTTCGAATGTGTATTTCTAATGGTTCAGTGTTTTTCCACTTTCAGAACATCTCTTTTACCGTCGTGTTTGGAGTATGTGTACCAGAAGCTATTGATAGATTGGTCTATTGTCCTTTTTCATCTTTTTTTTAAAACCACATCTTCAGGAAAAGACAAATGCAGTTCTTGGGACACCTAATTAAACAGACATATAGGTCTTGAATATCTAGCTCTCACTGGCAAAACTGAAAGCAGGGGTAGGCCCAGAGCAACCTACTTGAAAAACCTAAACAGATGGGTGACAGGGAAAGATCAGGGTAGTGTAGCTTTCTTTGAGAGCATCCTGGCAAAGGAATGAATGGAGAACCATTATTACCGATGTCTGTCTCAAATCTGGCACTTGATGGTGATGATGATACCAAATTTTAATGCACTTACTAATGTTTTTTGCAACCCTCAGGACGTCTCTGTTGTCTTTTTTTCCCCATCTTTTTATATCAAATTTAAATCAATAGAATGTCTCTCTTCTTGTCATTTTAAAATCTTTTTTTTTTCACAAAATATTAATACATTACTGTTTGTGCAACACACAGAACGTCTCTGCTGTCATCCGGTTCGGACCAGTCAATGGAGTGTGGCTCTCAGACTCCCCTGCGGCCCGATCCGATGCCACGGCGCGCGGCAGACGTAGCCACCTACAACAGCAACTCCACTGTGTCCATGAGCAGCGACACCAACTCTCCGGCTCCAGGGAGAAAGAAGAGCTCAGGGCTCGTGGACCCAAGGCTCAAGGTGTGTAGTTTGTGTGTGTGGG